TCGTCTCGAGTTCGATTCCAGGTTCCGTTGCTTTGTAAATAATTTGGTGATGATTTGTAACTAATTTCGATTAATTAGATTTAACAGCAAAATAAACTCAGTAAATTCCTTCATAAAAAAGCGTAAACAGTATTTAACCCGGCTTCAAGAGAAAGCTGTGTAGTGATTATTGGACAACCGGGAAAAGGTTGAATAAGCACCTTTCAAGTTCACACACAAATAACCAGCAGGATAACAGCTGTATAGAAGCGTTAATGGATATGCAATAAGAGCTTCTCCCGACCGTTCCAACAGCCATAAGGGGCTGTCCATAAACTACGTAGACAGTTTAGGGGGGGGGGGGTTGACAATTATCTACGGCCCATACAAATTTGAATTTTTTTGTATGGACAATTGTCTACGCAGGGGGAGGGGGGGTCAAGAATCCAAAAAAAACTGTCTACGTAGTTTATGAACAGCCCCTAAGTAGCTGACTAAGTTCGCCAGATTTGCTTGTATAGAGGTTGAGTAAAGGTTTCCTCATATCGTATAACGTTTAAATACAGCTTGAGACTGTATAAATGAAATGAGTAAAGCGTTTACATTGTGAAAATTGTTAGTTGGGTTGGCAAACTTTGAAAGTTTCTGCTTCCTTACTTCCTCCGAAACTTAAAAGTTGTGCTTTGCGGTAGAGAACAGTAGCTCGGAAAGCTGCCGGAAGTCCGCCTTGACGTAACCGTAAGTCTCATCATCCATGATGAGACAATGAGGCTTCGTCAGCATCTGGGTGTACAGATTCCGGGCCCGTGACTTTCCCACCGTATTTTGCCGCCCGTCATGATTTGGAGCCTTCTGAACTTTGTACGTATGCAGTCCCTCCCGGCCCTTGGCTCTCTGAACGAAAGACTTGGAAAGATTCAACTTTTTGGCCACATCCCTGACCGAAGCATTGGGATTCCGCTTAAATGCTTTCACGACACGCTTATGATCCTTATCATTAATAGAACATCCATTCTGACCGCATTTCTCCTTCCGTTCGATGCTCAGAGTTTCGTAGTAACGTTTAATCACACGGCTCACCGTTGACTGCACGATTCCGAGTGGTTTTCCGATGTCCCGATGAGAGAATTGAGGATTTTCCAGGTGCTTGCGCAAAATCAATTCGCGATATTGCTTTTCGAGTGACGCCATTTTTTCCAACGTTCGAAAAAACTGACAGCGATTAAAATACAGTGTAAAAAATACACTCTAAACTACTTATACCCAAATTTTCAAGAGAAAATACCCAATGGGTAATTTTCTACAGCGTTTTTTCCGTGATGCAATTTGATGTGGGACACCTTTTAGTTGAACAAAGCATCTGAACTCCAGGACGGTTTGAAGAACCTAAAGCTTCTGGTGTACATGGCAATAGATCGTGCATGATCCACAGAGACACCTTGAATTTATTTGGATATATTTCGATACTACAGACGTTGTTCCAAAAATGCCCAATATTTTTTTAGGTTCCATCATTTCGGAAGCCAGCATCTTGGGTTTCAAAATGGCTTTCTTACATGGATTTCCGGTCTTCACACGTCGACACGGATCCAAAAATATTATTATTATTATTTAACTTTATTAAAGAGGCTTTCAGCCTTGGGCTGGTTCGCCTCCACGGATCCAAAAATACCCATATTGTGGATCAGTGTGTCCCAGTTTTTCTGTAAACGTAAGCGGCCATATTGGATTTCAAAATGGTGTCAAACATAGATTTCCGGTCCCTACACGTCACCTAGATTTCAAACATACTCATATTTTGGAGTAGTATTGGGGTGACAGTGTTTTTCAGTTTTTCTCGTACCGAAAGCCGCCATCAAAATGGCATCAGACATTGATTTCAAATATTACACGTCACACTGGTTCCAAAAATTCCCATATTGAGGGCAGAATTTCTAAGTTTTTCTGTATCTGGAAGCTGCCATCTTGGATTTAAAAATGGCATCAAACATAAACTTCCAGTCCCTAAGCGTCACACCGCAATTTTCTGAGAGTTTCATGAATGTTCCAAAATTTCTAGAAATTTGTGGGTCTTCCGGAAAGTTCTAAAGGGTTTTCCAATAGGGATTTTCTAACTTTGACTGTTCATTGCGGCCATATTGTTGAAGCTACAAGTGTCAAATTGGCTGTCATTTATTCAGTGTGTCTTGCCAAATTACCATGCAGAGTTATAGCGTCCAACAGCACATGCGAATGATAAAATTGCTGTGTTAAAGTAAGTGTTTTTTGCGAGCAACGTTCCGAGTGCTTCGCCCATTTTACGGTCGCAATAATCGTCCTACCGATAACTAGGCTATTTTTGAAATATTGGACTCAATCAAATCAAACTTGGAGAAATTTTCAAGAATCTGGAACGAAAATAAATATTCAAGACATAGAATAAATTCCAATGATCCAGATTTCAAATAAATTAAGGGCCTTGCAAAAGTTTCGAAGCCTTTGAACTTTAAGAATGAATTTGATAGGAATTTCCAAGGATCTCTACACGCAAAACAAAAATGTATTACAATGTTAGTCGCATTTCCTATCATCCTCCGCAACGAAAGACTTAAACATTTTTTATCTTTTATAATTTGTGTTCTGTCGACGCTTTCGACTAAGCCAGCAAGCATTTTAGTTATAACATGTAGAACGACGCACACACTTGCCACGATTCTCTCCCATTTCCGTTCAGCAGAAAAAGCATACGAAATCGAGTTATCGTACTATGAGCGCATCTTATTAGCTTTTAGCCTATCCATACTTCGAAGCATGCAGAGAACAGTGGAGAATGCACAGGTCTAATAACCGCAACGTTCGTGGTTCGAGTCCAGTCGGTGACCATTTTTCTATTTTGTTTCGACATGATTGATTTCACTCACTAATACACTCCACATTGGGTGTAGGAATAATTTCAAGGGAATTCAGAGGATAGATTTTTAGGAAGTGAAATCTAAGGATTCCTTTCAAATTAGTTATGAGGAACTCCCGTTTCGAAGTGAAACGTAGGGATCATTCCAAGGTTGGTCTGAGAAGAATTCCAAGCGAATCCTGAGTGGGATTCTAACAAATATATTTTATTAACAATATGATCCACTCTTTCGCTTAGCTGGCGAACCGAATTTTTAGCGATGAAAGCACCTCTGTGGCCAAAAAGGCTACCAATGTATTTGTTTATCGTCACGGGGGGTAGACCAAATGAAAATTTGTTTAATATTTCAAATGAATGTATTTCAGCATTTTATTTTATTTGACATGCCAGACACATTTTAAAGTACATAATATACACAATGTAATTAATGAAAATAATTTGACTCTTACTTTTGTAATAAGTGCTATATTCGCACCCCTCGATTGTAATTGAATGATTGTTGCTGACCTTTCACAACGCTAGATAGTGCGTGAAGCAATATTTTGCGGGTCTCCATTGCAACATTTGAAAAAGGCATAAATGGATCATATTGTTAATATGATATATTTGATTCAAAGCAAATCTACAAGAGAATTCTGTGGAACATTCCAAAGCAATTCCAAAGAGAATTCAAATAGGGTTCTGACTAAAACTCCAAAGTAAAAGGAGAACACCAAGATACTTGTTATGTATAATTCCAAGAGAAACAGCAGAATCCGAAAATAATTCTGTAAGCAATGCAATGAAACTTCTGAGGATAACTTCAAAAGTACTCTTCAAAGAAGATTTGAGGAAGGTTTCAACGAAACTTTTAACGAAGTTTTGAGCTTTGACTATATGTTTTTAGTATTACTTCTACGTGAAGTCAACGATTTACATAGTTGAAGATGCTAATTTCAAATAACAGACTGTAGTGGTAATTTTTATACGATAGATGGAGTAGATGAAAGCATAGAGTTGATAGTTCCGTTAGAGTACGGCAGTGTGAAGATTGTATATAGATATTAGAATAGCGAACTAGGACAACTTTTAAGGAAGGTACAAATCGGTTTTTTCATCTCTCTTTACCAAACTTCCCCTTTGGAGAGGGATGGTGAGGGGTGTCCCCCCCCCCCGCCACCACTGGCAAAAGAGATGAAAACCGACCCGTTCAAGTACCAACTGTGTGTTTGAAACAGTTTTACCGATTTTTACCGTACTTCAATTGTTATTTGAAGGAAGGCATCCAGTCGTAGGTTTGGAAATTGCAACTATTGTTTACCCCTACCACGATATGTGCTCCTGTCATCGTCGACTTGACGTGTCCCCTCGAGATCGTCAAGTCGACGATGACAGGAGCACATATCGTGGTAGGGGTAAACAATAGTTGCAATTTCCAAACCTACGACTGGATGCCTTCCTTCAAATAACAATTGAAGTGCGGTAAAAATCGGTAGAACTGTTTCAAACACACAGTTGGTACTTGAACGGGTCGGTTTTCATCTCTTTTGCCAGTGGTGGCGGGGGGGGGGGACACCCCTCACCATCCCTCTCCAAAGGGGGAGTTTGGTAAAGAGAGATGAAAAAAAACCGATTTGTACCTTCCTTAAAAGTTGTCCTAGTTCGCTATTCTAATATCTATATACAATCTTCACACTGCCGTACTCTAACGGAACTATCAACTCTATGCTTTCATCTACTCCATCTATCGTATAAAAATTACCACTACAGTCTGTTATTTGAAATTAGCATCTTCAACTATGAAGTTTTGAGGTTAATTTCAAAGAAATACTATGGAGAACTTCAAGGTTGTTTCTGTAATCATCTTTAGAGAACTCAAAGAAGAGATCGTAGTGAATTCTGCGGACCATTTCAAAGAATTCACATTTAGAAAAAAGTTTCTTCCAAAACCGGAAAAATGTCCGTTAAAGTCCTGAAAACTCAGGGACACCCTGTTTATAAAAGTTGTACGGCCCTTATTCTAGCTCTATATACAAATCCTGTCTAAGTGCCATCTCGTTCCATATACACATATATGAAAGCTCATTGCAGGCTACAAGATTGATCGCCAAGAACCCTGTTAAAACAAAAAGAAAACATTCAAATGCCTCACCTTCTAATCATTGCCTTCGTGTTCCAGATGGACGGATACGTCTCCCGAATCACGGTCCGGTACTGTCGGTTGAGATCACGTCCGGTCAGCGAGCTGCGGGTGTTTCCCACGATGACGCCGTCCGGATTGAGCATAGGCACTAGCTTAAAGATAAACTTGTGGCGAAGCTTTTTCGCCTGCAATGCAAATTTTTGGAAGGTTGAAGTTTCTCAGTTTTCTCAGCGTCGGCTCGTCGGTCACTTACCACATATGAATCACCGGTGATAAAGTCCATGAGGCCCTTCATCATCCACGACGAAGGACTCTCGCCTGGATGAACACGTGCGCTGATGATTACCGCTTTCTTCTTCTGAAAATAGAATTTTCACATGATTAATGGCATAACATAGTCTGCTGATTTGTTTTATTCCTTCCTTGGATTACAACATCCCAACCAGAAGAAAGAGAATCGAAAGATTGGCACGCGCCCTGAAATAGATTGATTCGGCGTACATACGTACAGAGTAATTCACGCGATCCTCAGTCTACCGGTAGGTGATTGATTGCCAACTTTGTCACCTCCTCGGTTTCGCTAATCGCCATAGGGTGGTTCGAAATCTAATTTTGCTAGCACAATTTGACGCACCTGTGGTTCCACCCTCAAATAATGGGATAAATTGGCACGCGATCTGAACCGTGGATGTTTTTCATTGTCAAGGGTCAGACTCAAATTTAGATCTGGTAGACGTACCGGGTGTCAAAGCCAGACACGTCACGAGACTGAGCGTTACGGCATTGTTTGATCCGTTCGTTTGTCAGGTTGATCATCCGGAAAGGTAGAAAGTTTAGAAATGCGGATGACACATAGACCTCCTAACACGAGCAATGATTGACTGACGCTGGTCGGTTGGTATGGTTACCGCACGGCTCAACAGAATTTTCCAATTTAACCCCCGAAAATAGAATTCGGCAGCTGTTCTCAATGTCGCCTCGATCGGCGTTGGGCAGTGCGAATGAACCCCGTTCAAGTTGGCTGGAATGGAAGCTGACAGCGGTTGCCATATATCACTCGTCGCGACGCTTCACGGATCGATCACGAACTGGCCGGGTGAGGGAAATTGTGTAATTGAGTAGATGAAATTCGATGAAAACAAAATTCTTTGTCTCTGGACTTCGTTATTGGCACCTGTTTTGGGTGAGATCTATGAAAATGATCATGTGATTTTTTCGGGGTTTGTGGAAACATGCTTTCTAATTAACTTGCACGCAAGTATGCATTTAGTGTCCGGGAGGAATTTTTCGAAAATTTTAATTGGCGTATGCAGATGTTTTTTTTTTAAAGGAATGCTGAATTTAATCCCATGGATGGATTACGAGGTAATTCCAATGGGGTGTTCAACTCTGTGCCGAAAGCTAGGTCAAGCGTTGTACCGAACGTGCCGAAGTGTGGCAATCAAGGTATCAGTCTCAGTAACCCATGAGTTTGGCAACCCTGCACTTATGACTTTTGAGATTGTGTGTTTACATTTTCTAGTCAAGTACGGAAAAAAGTCGTGGAACTTAATTCCAAGATGATATTTAACGAGCTGATTGCCGGTCATCCGCTTAATTTCGCACTCGAAGTTTAGCCCCTCCGCGATTGATGGCAGAAGCTGTGCATCCAGGAGGTGACATTTATGTACCGTGCGGCATTCTGGCAGACGTTTGCCGGAACGAAGTAAGGCAAATGGAAGATGAATCTTGTCTGCATTATCATCATGCTACACGGGCAATGCTACAACTTGAAAAACATTAAGGACTCGACCTAAAATGCCCACCGGTGGTAGTAGTAGCAGCAATAGACCTGCAGTAGTTTCCCAGTGTCAGCAGCAACTAATTTTATAGGGAAGAGGGGTCGAACTACTTCGTCCACGGCTTATCCAAATAAATGTCGGTTCAGGATCTCGATACTGGTTGCAGTCGTTTGATGACTACCTCCTCCTTGTATGCCGCTTGTCATACCGGAATGGCATAATAATCTCCCTGAAACTGCTGCCGATTCCGATTAGAGGTGGGCAAAATAGCTCATCTGGCCGAGCGGATCAGACCCGTCCAGCTGATTAAAGGGAGTCGATTCTTTTGAACAGCTCTTCAGCTCACCTTTAAATTAAAGAAATTTTTACACAAATTTCACACGCGATGATATGATCGACATCGTGTTACACGATGTTACGCCTTTTCTCTAGCCATGTAATCCAGTCTACATACAGATTTTATTTCTGATGTTAATTCTTCAGCGGGAATTGCTCCCACTATTCTCGGCTTCAGCTCCAGATCATCAGCTCAGATCTAGAGATGGACTCCCAAGCTGTTCTATAGACCCGATTCATTAAAGTCAGCTGATGACCCGCGGGTCATTTTTAGGAACCGTAGCTCATCAGCTCACTGATATCATAAGTCTAATAGTGTATTCAGATCTGAGCGTGCATTAGCAGAGCGGAGCAGAATTTGTGTTGGAATGAGAGAGACAACTAGTACTTCTATCCCTCTCGTACATTCGCAAAATCTCGCCTCGCGCGTGGAATATCGCTCAAGACGGAATCTACCTTGATTCTCCAGCACAATTACTCCCACTATTCTCGGCTTCAGCTCAGATCTAGAGATGGACTCCCGAGGTGTTCTATAGACCCAACTCACTAAAGTCAGCTGATGACCCGCGGTTCATTTTTAGGAACCGCAGCTCATCAGCTCACTGATATCATAAGTCTAATGGTGTATTCAGAGCAGAGCGTGCATTAGCGAAGCGGAGCTCTCTCTATTCTCGGCTTCAGCTCTAGATCATCAGCTCAGATCCGGATCCGGAGCTGAATCGTGAAGAATCGAGAGAGAAAAAGATCAGAAGAGCTGGATGGGTCCGACTGAATCATCCGAGCCGATGATTCGGATCCGGAGATGAGCTGCTAAGCTGGAGAGCTGCATTTAGCTTTTCGGTTATTTGCTTTTGTGCGGATCTTCCGCTCCCCAAGAGAATGATGGGAGGAGAGGTGAGAGCACATATGCTGGAAGAATAACATCAGCAATAATAAGAGCTGGGTACGTAAATATATTTGATAATACCAGTAGAAATTTAACATCGTGTAACACATGTACATATGTCTCTCTCTCTCCCATACAGCCGCTTGGAAGTTTGCTTTTACGGTTGATGCTATCGTTCAGTATGCACATGTTGAATTACGCGCGCATCTTGGTTTACGCGGTGACTGTTCAATGCGTGCTTTTTTGAAAAATTCCGCTATAAGTCACGGATTGAATGGTTTAGATTTGTGATAACAATGTCCTGATGAGCTGCGGTTCCTAAAAAAATGAACCGCGGGTCATCAGCTCACTTGAGTTAATCGGGTCTTTAGAACAGCTCGGGAGCGGATCTCCCATCTCTAGTTCCGATTGCGTTCATTAATAATACCGCGATTCAGATTGGCTCTGTTACCTCCGTTGTGGTTACCTTCATAATTCCGTTAGCAGCATCTTTCTTAATGTTGCAACCGTCGTTGATGCGAACAGTTTCGAAAAAGCGTAGAGAGACTGCAAACCGGTAATACGGGATCCACTGACTCCACCAGCCTCCACAGTCATTCGAATACAAGTTCAGTCCATAGAATGAGTTGAACGGCTGCATCAATCGTACCGGTTGGTTCTGCGAGAGAAACAGCTCGAGAAACAGCTGCCATTGCAGATACATCTGAAGAATGGTAGGATTGTTCGGACTGTTGTTGACACCGTACATTATCACTGCAATGCTCCTTACCCATACAATTGACTCTCGGTTCGGATCCAATGGCCATCGAGTTAATACTTAATTCTAGTTAATTCTGGCCTATTTAGCGGGGCGTTTGGACTTTGGACACCTCTCAAAAACCGTGCGGACTTTCTGTAGAGGTTCATCCCCCAGAATGCATAAGGACAAAGAGCGTCTCGTCAATTATACAATGTCTTATTATGATTGGGGAAAATTTCGCTGGAAAATGACACTGACAAAAAAATCCCCCTTACGACGTAAACGAAGAAGTAAACCTTAGCAACGATTGCCAAAATGTAAACACAAAACAGTGATGCCGTTTTAGTACGTTTTGTGTCATACTTGTCATCGTGTGGCATGACGTGCCGATCAGTGTGCCACGATGTGTTTCGGCACAATGTGCAGAGTTAATTACTATAGCTATGAATAAGCGGACTGGGATAGCTATGGTGATGGCCTTTCAGTCCTTGTTACTACAGCAACGAACAGCATTGAAGACTTTGCAGAAGTGGTATACGAAGCGGCAACAGCAACCATCCCAAAGACCAGCAGCGTTCCGGGGCGAAAAGCGCTACGCTGGTGGAATGAAGATACGAGTAAAGCCGTTAAAGCCCGGCGTAAAGCGCCTTCCTATCGGACACCCCGACCGCGAGGCCGCTCTCCGTCACTACAATGAGTTGCACAATCAATGCCGGCAAGAAATCCGTGTCGCCAAACGAACCAGCTGGATGGACTTTCTGGAAGGAATGAATTCGTCACAGCCTTCGACCGACTTATGGAGGCAAGTCAACGCCCTCAGTGGGAAACGGCGCATGACTCCGCTCCACGTACAGATTAACGGTGAAGCGGTTTCTGACCCTGCAATTGTTGCGGACGAACTCGGCTCGTACTTTGTCGATCTCGCAGCCATCGAGGAGTACGAAGACGAATTCAAGCGGAAAGCTAAGCCTTCGACGTCATCCATTGCAAGTTTCTCTGTTTCTTCTGACGCTGGGAACTCGGACATCAACCAGGCATTCTCCTGGCAGCAACGGAAAGTCGGCGGGTCCCGACGAAATCGGGTACCCTCTATTCAAGAGATTACCAACGCCAGGCCAGCTACGGATGCTGGAGCTTTTCAACAAGCTCTGGCTCACCAAATCGTATCCAGCGTCGTGGAAGGAGAGCTTAGTCATTCCCATCCCAAAAGCCAATGAAACAACCCGTGAAGTTAGCAAGTTCCGGCCAATAGGCTTGACATGCTGTATGGCCAAGGTCCTGGAGCGAATGGTCAACAGGAGGCTACAACATTTCCTTGAAGCCGAAAACCTGCTAGACCATCGCCAACGATAGCTGTCTCCACACCGAGATTGTCTCGCTGGATATATCGAAGGCCTTCAACAGGACGTGGACGCCCCTCGTCTTAGAGCAGCTTGTTAACTGGGGGCTGTGTGGACCTATGGTCCACTTCATCAATAATTTCCTGACCGATCGTTCTTTCAGAGTCGCAGTTGGCAACACGAGGTCCCAGCTTTTCAGAGAAGAGACGGGCGTCCCACAAGGTTCAGTTATCGCCGTTACCCTCTTCTTAGGTTTCCAGCTTTCGGCCACCAAAAGCGCCAGGTGGCACGTGTGTCCATCCCGGCACCGTGTCAGCGGGCCACCTATCAAAGTTAAAAGCCAGCTCATACCACTGAAGAAGACGGTCCGTATTCTGGGGGTACTTGTTGACCGGTCCCTCAACTTCGAGCAGCACTTTAAGGCGATCAAGAACGACTGCCGCAGTAGGATCAACTTGATCCGCACCATCTCTCGCCCCCACCGGTCTAACAATCGCGACACTCGTTTCCGGGTTGCAAGAGCCGTCATCGATAGTCGCCTACTGTACGGTCTTGAGATGACGTGCATCGCCACCGAAAAGCTCGTGCAGATACTAGCACCAACTTTCAACAACTACGTTCGGATTGTCTCCGGTCTTCTTCCGTCAACGCCCGCCGATGCCGCATGCATCGAAGTCTTTACAGCAATGACCTCCGGAAGTGACAGGATCTTTTTCCTCGATGAGGGGAATGTGCCGGGAAGATTCAAGTTTGTGTTTGCCGCAAGTTCGCGAAGAAGGCAATGATTTGGCAAGCGATTTGCAATTCCTCGACGATGACATTTCAAGTTTACATCGAAGAATGCCTGAATAAGCGTGTATTGCCGATCATCCACAAGCATAGGGGCAAAGTCATCTTTTGGCCCGATTTGGCCAGCTGTCACTACTCGAAGGTGGTTCTGGAGTTGTATGCTGCCAACAAGATCGATTTTGTCCCTAAGCTAATGAATCCTCTGAATTGCCCGGAATTTCGACCAATCGAAAAATACTGGGCAATTTCAAAGCAGTGACTTCGACTTCGAAATGCCGGCATCAAGGACATCCAGCAAATGCGGACAAAATGGAAGAAATTCGATGATTCCGTGTCCGTTTCCACTGTACGGGCGCTGATGGGCTCTATCCAGAGTAAGGTACGAGATTTCGTTCGAACTGGAGAAATGCTGTAACTTTGAAGTTTTAATAAAAGTACTGTAAAGTACTGAGGTTTTAATAAAAGTACTGCATCGAAGTTTTTACAGCAATGACCTCCGGAAATGACAGGATCTTTCTCCTCGATGAGGGGAACAGACTTCTCCGCATGTCTGCCAATTCAGAGCTCCCCCCAGTGGCCAATGTTCACTGGTACGGAGACAAAAGTTGGTGCATACCTCCACCAAAAATCGAGAGTCGGATAAAGAGCAGGTTAAAGGCTGGAGATAACTCTGCAGCACTGAAGAGAACAGTACACGGACGGATCGCTTTCCCGAGCCGGGGTTGGAATTGGAGTAGCCGGAATTTCAGCACCGATGAGTAGCAGCCTATCGCCACAAAGCTTGGTTTTCTCCGCCCAAGCTGCGGCCATCTTTGTTGCCGTTACAACACCCTCGGGCCGGCCCATACTGTTGCTATCCGATTCGTACAGCGTGATACAAGCCCTTACATCCCTGACTCACCCCTGGATACAGGCTATTGTGGAGGCCACACCTCCGAACACGGTGTTTTCCTGGATCCCTGGGCACTGCGGTATCCCAGGAAATAGCGAAGCTGACAGCCTGGCAGGGTCTGGACCAGCTGGCCGCCGTTACACCGACGAAGTGTCACTACAAGACATAAAGCGATGGATAGTCAGCAAAATTTGGGAAGTCAGGGAAGCAGAGTGGTGCCAATCCCAATCCCTCTTCATTCGAAGAATTAAAGGAACGACGAGCAAGTGGACGGATATGTTGAAACTACGGGACCAGAAGGTGGTTTCTTGTTTTAGGACAGGCCATACATCTCACATAGTTTTGGTGGGACGCAGTTCGTTTGCGGAACCACTGCATCGGTGGAACACATCCTATGCCTGTACCCGCAATACCAACAACTACGGGAGCGGTACGCACTTCCCAACAGCATTAAGGACATACTGGGCGACGAACCTTCCACCTTAGCGACAGTTATTTATTTCCTCAAGTCCTTTTAACTTTCTTTTGGCTGACGGGACATCTCTGCCGGACGGGGATTACCCTTCTAATTTCCCACCGTGAAGGCTTTTGACCACCCCAAACTCACCTTCTGATTGTCATCCTCGTGCGTCGAGGGAGCCGTCACCGTCAGGTAGTACACGTTGTTCCCCGCCAGCGAGCGGCACAGCAGCCGCAGCTTGCAAAACTTCGACTTGACCGGATTCCGCTGGATGCTCATCAGATAGTCCTGCAGGTCCGAATAGGTGTACGGATAGCTGTGGGCAAAGAACACCGTATCGTCGTCGTACTTGAACTCAATGTTGAACGACAGCGTGAACGAAGCATTCCCAACGAACTCCTCGTCGTCATCGTCGCACGGCCGGTGATGGTAGTTGCTGTGATTGTAGCTGTGGGGGGGCTTGATTAACTACGGGTCTATATGCATTGCACAATGGTCCAGGATGTGAATTTAGCAAGACATAAGTTCTAGGGCTTTTGGTTTCAGTTTTGGACGTTTGGTGTCTGCGGTGTAGTGGTCGTCAAAATAATGTTTCTGAATCATCTTGCCCCTTAAAGGCTGCACAGTTGACCTGGCCGTTTTGATACATTTTGCGCATCTCTGATGTGCAACATTGGTATATGATTCACAAGAAAAATGGATTTTTTAATGGATATTCAGAAACTAATTTTCTTGTTAATGGAAATAGAGAAAAAAATCACCTGGACAAAGTTGTAACTGAGTTAACTTCAAGCAACTTTGTCGTGGAATTGTTTTTTTTTTTTCTATCTCTTAACGTTCTCTTTTTTTAAAGTTTGTCTATTTTTCCAGGCTCATTCGCGGTAGCTTTGCGGAGCCGTATCTCGTTTTCAATTTAGAGCAAAGAGTTGTTTGAAATTAACTCAGCTGCAAATCTGCTGAAAGCTTGTTTTTAAATATTCTTTAATTAAAAGAACGACCAAAAGAAAAGATAACGATTAAGATAAACAAATTCACCGAAGACACCAAACTAAAAACAACAGCACTTGACCCACTTGTCCTGTCAAATTCACATCCTGTTCCGCTGTGCATTTTGAATCACCAAAGATCTTACCCATTTTCGCTATCGTTCCGGAAGTAGGCAATGTTCTCCCCGCACCTCTGCCAACCGATGTGGTTGTACTCGGCGCACAGCGTGGAGTACATCAACGGTCGCATGCCCTCCTTGTACAGGCTGTCCGGCTTCGTTAGGTTGATGATCGAGAACCTATAGAGAGGATATACAGAAATAGATTTAAATTAATCGACTAATCTTCCGGTTCAGCAACTGGGAAATTCATGCACGGTGCTCCACTCTCGCCGGTCGTGATGGTGCAAAGGAGAATTATGATTTATGACCACCAGCCGGGTTGGCAAATTTGACGGTAAACTGCCGACTGAGTCAAAAGTTATGAATTTCCAGCTGAAAGATGTGCTTCGCCGAAGAAAGTCTCGGCGGACTCGCAATCATCATTTTCGCGGAAGTCATCAGCTGCAGATTTTTTCCTCTTCAAAATCGTCAGCTTTCAGCAGTAGCTATCAATTATCAAACCTAACGGTTTCCAGGTGCTGCCACCATTTATCGCTTGGACAAGAACGGGCACCTAACGTCAGTCGCCTTAAATGATTATTACGCGAAAATTTGATTTTTTTTTCCTTCTCCGCAAACATTGTTATACCCATTTGGACCAGATGTTTGCATTTGATGAGTTTCAGCGCCCGAGAAACAGCAGCGTAGCAAACATCGTCGTCGTCATAATCATAATTAGTATGATGTGCCCAGGGTGGCTGAGAAAAAAATGGTTAAATTTTCCGGTTTTTTTTCGCTTTCAGCCAAACGCAAGATAAGTAGTTTCGACTGCATGGACTCAGATTTTTTTTGCCTGCGATCCTTTGTTTTAACTTTCCATCGGGGTATAATTACGCGTTTCATTATGCGAGATGAGAGGACAAGGAAGCACGAAAGCGAAAACCATCCATCAGAACCGCACATGGACGACGATGTCGAGAGCGTTCTGGGGCTGATAAGAACTCTTTATGAACAAACATGACATGAGTATTATAAGAGGAAATTTTCGGTTTTCGCAAATTGTGCACCTTTCAATTTTTTATTAATTCGATTTCATTATTATCGCGCGCACATGTGCGTTGGATGGCGAAAGTGCGGTTTTCGCTTCTGGTAGTTAACGGGAAGCGAAGCGATTTTTTTTATTGTGGAAATGTGCTTCTTTGTTCGAATTTCTGTCGATTATCTACATGGCCAATGAAATGTAATGTTGTGATAACGAGTAGTTCATTATTTTACAACTACACCCATGGTTTGCAGAAGCTAGTCTATCAAGGTTCCATAATCAAGCAAAATTTGAAACTTTGAATGAACCCTTATCAAATTCGTGAAATTTCAGGGTGGCCAGCAAACCGAGAAAACGTGGAAAACCGGAAAATAACCGGGAATTTGAAAAGTAACCTAGATAGGATTTCTACCGGATGTATCTTCAGGCATTACATCAAATGTTCTCCGGAATTTTCGGCTAGCTTCTCCCTCTGGAACTATCTTTCAATCTATTTTCCTCGGAAGTTTCCTCCAAATGTCTTTCACCAGAAGATTTTTTCGACTTCTTTTTATAGCTTCTTCCGACTTCCTTTGGATGTATCAACGTACCTCGAAAACTGCTCCGACTTTCGGACGATTCCTCCAACATACCCAGGAAGTTTCTGCCACCTTCTTGCGGAAGTTTCTATCAATTCCTTTGAATAGGTTCTTCTAATTTCCCATATGATTTCAAGTCTTCAGTAAAGCTGTTCACTTGTTAAAATTTAGGCATATTTGTCCCAGGTCACCATGGAAGTCAAACCAGTTTGTCTGGAATCGAGAAACGGCAATTTCCTGGGCTGTCCCGGGTAGGAAACACTAGGTATGTTAAAGAATTGGCACGCCCCTAACGCGCCGCTAACACGCTTCTAGTGTTGGGAATCGAAAATCTTTGACATTGGTTTGTTTACACTTCTATTGGCGTCTTGCAGTGAAACTTTTTCAAGCTTTCGCCACCTACATTTCGAAGTGAGAACTACTAGAAGGAGGATAGTTTCCAAATTCTCCAAGTAAAACAGACGATTTTTGTGGCAAATTGGTAGGGTAATTGATTCTGGTTGGACCTATCCAAATACTGATGATGGTTGGACCTATTTATCAATCACTAGTTTAGTCAATCTTCGCTATTTTTTTTTTTCAAAGATCACTTTACTATCATAAAAAAAACTCTTTTTCTTCAATTTGCATGGGTGTTTTATTGAAAAAACTACAAAACAATTGAGTTTCAATGTGTTTTCAAAACAGTTCACTTTTCACGCATTAGCTCGTCATCATGCCGTACTTTCAAACATACAAAAAGGGAAAAAAATTCACATTTATTTTTATTTTCATGCAGTAAAATACTGCTTTAAGGTGTAAACAGCACGTTAGTACGCCATTTATCCATTGGTTTCACTAAAATGTTTGAATATATGACGAAATTCGAATAGATAAATATGATCATGGTTGGACGTACGCATGATGATGGTTGGACCTATGTGTTTCCTAAGACGGCCGCTAGGTGCGCTTCGGTTTGTGTACATCCTTCATGCGCAGCTGATTTGAAATTCGATTTCTTTTTGGCCGAGTGATCTATTTCTTCGATTGAAAAAATGGCTAAAGAAAAGAGTTATACGGTCGAAAATCTTCAAGAGGCTGTTCTTTTAGTAAGAAATAAATCACTTACCGCGTATCAGGCACAGAAAAGGTACAATATTCCGAAAACGACACTTCACGCAAAAATTAAGGGAAGCCACGGCAAGAAATATGGAAGGGAAATAGTGTTGAGTGTTGATTTGGAGAACCAGCTAGGGGATTGGGTTTGTGTATGCGCTGCTTCTGGCAGTCCCAAGACGACCAAAAAGATCTTGGAAGCTGCTAAGACATTGCGTCACTAGTTGGGCGTAAATTTAAAGGAGGAATTCCATCGTCAGGTTGGCTGAAAGGGTAACCACCGATTTCCGAACTACCACGAAAGCGCCGAAAGAATCTGTTAATATGAATTTACATTAAGCACTTCTCATACACCTTCTGTGTGTGAATTAACTTGAAATAAAATGTTAACAAACTAAAAATTGCTAACTGAAACTTATTTCCGAAAAAGAAAACTCTTAGCCCCTAAATTCCCCGGGGGCACCCAGAACATGCCCAGAAGTGGCCAATGTGGTCCAAGGCACTCAATTTTGCTATTGATCTTGTTATCGAATTTGGAAGTAATTTGAAGTGTCGCATGATAGGTTTTATTCCTTCCATGTCCTAATTACCATGTTCCATATACCCTGGAACTTGTTCCGGCCATATCTCCGGAACCAGTTGACCGATTCCAAAAATATTCGATAGCTTTCAATGGGACCACAATACCTATAGTTTGACGTTAAAAAATTTCCAAATTGGGTCAATGATTTCCTAGAAAATGAGCCATGATGAATAGCTAATGCATGGAAAATGAACTTTTTTAAAAACGAAGATAAACTCAAATTTCTTGATTTTTTTTAAATAGCAAATTCATAAAAAACTGTATAAAAAGAGTTTTTTCATGATACCAAAAAACCCTAAACAAAGTTTTTGAACAAATATGGGCTAAACTAGCATTTGCAAAAATAGGTCCAACCATCATCATTTTTTAGGTCCAACCAACATCATAATTCTTTGCTGAATAAAAACGTTTTATAAAATCATTTGTTCATAATATTTAACTTTTTATGTTATTATAAGAAACAAGAAAGGTAGATCTTTCCCCTAATCACGCATTTTTCATATTATATGTTGAATTCATAAAAAAAATACGACATGAATGTTGACGTCGAGTGAAACCGGCCTAAATAGGTCCAACCATCATCAGTTACCCTACATAAAGAAAAACTAATAATTTACGGTGTAAATTTTTGCTTGAATCGTGTAAGAAAACGTGTTTGCAAACTAACTGTTATTATTTCGGTATAGATCGGAGATGTTTTCATGGAAAATTATGCATAACAAGTTTGCACCCACAGGTAGAGGTTACCTCCTGCGCAGCTGCATTTTTTGGAAAATGGTGAATATGTGCGATTTCCACTAGGATGAAAGTGGAAATTAAGTTAATTTACTTAGGGAAGATTGTATCATGCTGGTGATAATGGAGAAATGGTTGTATAGGACGCCAATATTCATTTTGGTCTTTTTTAGGTACACATATTGATACTCACAATTTTCGACGGAAAACGCAACGGAACTGGATTTACTCAACACGCACCATACTATAAAATGGTGCTCGATGGTTTATAAAGTGATAACAAGATGACAAATCATTTTTATTTTGAGTAATTGAGCAATTTACTTCTGTTTACATCATATGTACGATGCAGCATTGATGGAGCTGTGAAATGAAATGAATATATCTTATGAAAGTTCATCTGGAAAAGTCAAAGATGCACATCAGTCTGATCGTGAAAACATTTTCTTCTTCAATTCGAATGTTATATTGGAAGGATTTCACGCAGGCTTGATGAAAATTATGATTTAATGCTAATTTTCACGAATTTTATATGCAGTCTGTCAACATTATCATCATCATGCAGTGGCGACATCTGCGTCGAGCTTTTCCGGCAATCTCCCAATATAGAGAACAACTGGTGCAAGTTTGATCAAAGTAGTCGATCGCGTTCAGATATAACGTCAAATGGAACTCGAAAAAAGAAAAAAATAATGTTCTCAAACACCTGGAAATCCGAAGTGGTCCGGTTTCAAGCTGGCTAAAGCGCTGAAGATGTCGAAAACAACAGTTTGTCGAGTGCTCAAAACCTACAAGGAAACCCTGAGTGTGGAAAGGAATCAGCGGACCTACGAAAAAACTGGAACCAGGGATCGTCAGCTGCGCAGCGTTAAAGCCAACTCGGTCTTTCGATCCGAGATGTGGCCAGGAGGAGGTACAACGCCAACCTTCAAACGGTGCTGAACATCCTTGCCAGGGAAGGATACAAGTCGTACAAAGCCAGTAAATATCCGAACCGGTACATGAAGCAGAATTCCGTGGCCAAAAAGCGTGCAAAGCTCTTGTACGACCGTGTTTTGACGAAACACAAGGGCTGTACTTTGATCGGAACCATTCGTCACATCCTCGACGATGACATCCCAAGTTTACATCGAAGAATGCCTGAAAAAGCGTGTATTGCCGTTCA